TATCTATCTATCTATCTATCTATCTATCTATCTATCTATCTATCTATCTATCTATCTATCTATCTATCTATCTATCTATCTATCTATCTATCTATCTATCTATCTATCTATCTATCTATTTATCTTTCTACTTATCTATTTATCTATCTGCATATATAAGTATTATTTTTTTCCAATCTACCCTCCTTTATTTAAATCAAATTTTTTTTTCTGTCAAATTGAACGTATCTACACCCTAAAAAAAAAGGGGGGGGGGTGGGCGGGGCCGGGATTCGTATAACACTTTGGGACTCCTTGCATATTTTTATCTCGTATTTTTCCCAGGCTTACTTACGTAGTCTTGTTAACATATCTTGTATAAATCCGCCACTATGACCTATTCGCTCTATTTTCTAAGCTATGTAAGTGGATTAACTGTAACTTTGAAACTAAACATGAATAAACCTGCTTGCTTCCCCTTTTTAAATGGCACATTGGCGTTCTGCATGTGTGTTCATTAGGGTAAATTAAAATAATGACCTATGGCTACTTGTTTGTTGATTGGGATCAATCAAAATACAGACCTATGGCTACTTGTATGTTCATTGGGATTTTACAAAATAAAAGCTATGGCTGTTTGCGAAACATTGTTCGTGAATTTTTAGTTGTTATTTATCTATGAATGAGTTGAGTCTTTTTAATAAAAGGTCTACGTTGCTATAATAGTGTTCAAAACAATCGTGAAACTGAAACTAACACTCAGATCAGTTAATATTTTTTTTAAAGAGAACAATACCTAAAAATAAATTTATTGTAAAATTAAATATATATATAATTTTTGCATACTTTTGTCATGTGACAGGTCGGGTTTAAAATGACATGGTAGTTATATTTACGTGACATTGTGGTGGTTTTAACGGTTTTTTTTTAAACTAATTAATCCATACATACTTCACAAAGACAAGATGCCTTGACCATAAGGCAATCACCCTTAGACCATATCCAATGTTGCCTTGGACCACATCCACTGTTGCCTTAGCCCATATCCAATGTTGCCTTAGACCACATCCACTGTTGCCTTAGCCCATATTCACTTTTGTCTTAGACCATATCCACTGTTGCCATAGACCATATCCAATGTTGCCTTAGAACACATCCACTGTTGCCTTAGCCCATATTCACTTTTGTCTTAGACCATATCCACTGTTGCCATAGACCATATCCGCTGTTGCCATAGACCACATCCACTGTTGCCATAGACCACATCCACTGTTGCCATAGACCATATCCGCTGTTGCCATAGACCATATCCACTGTTGCCATAGACCATATCCGCTGTTGCCATAGACCACATCCGCTGTTGCCATAGACCATATCTGCTGTCACCGCTAAATCATCTCGAAAACTGTATTTAATGAACACTCTTTGATTCCTTTCCAGTATGAGCTGCTGGTAGTGACTGTTCAATCATTCTCAGTGTGTTAAAGTTTGCTTGTCAAACTCAATGTAAAGTTCAATCAAGACCCAGCATTGCGTTATTTTTGTCAATACAAAGCCCAGGATGATGCCTGACTTGAGATAGAGAATGACTCATAACCCTGTCTTTTAATACCACTGAGCTTCCCCGTACGGATTTAAATGTAATCTTCTGATTCAAATCTCAGCACAAATTGCATACGCTTTACACATTATTTATTGGTCAGACTTTCCATTGGTCTCGATTGGGTGATTTTATTATTTTTTTTTTAAAATCAGTAATAAGATTTTTTTTTTAAAGAGGCTGAATGAACTGTTTATTTAAATGTTCATGAAATGTATACAGATCAGTCTTTCATAAGAAGATTGCAAATATTCCTTTTACAACAGGACTAGGGCATGTACTACTCACGTCTAGTTTAAAGAATGAGTGAAGATACTGACATAATAAATTACGCCACACATTAAAAGTGCTAGCTTAACATTGAAAAATTATTTCATATACGTCTTCCCCCTTTCTTTATGATGATCATTATTTCAGAAGATTTTTTCGTATACCTCTTGAGTGACAAATGGAACGGGAAGACCTGTCTTCGCGTCCTGGGAGGAGAGCTGCTTCTACTTCTGCTCACGGCGCTGATACATCTGGAGGAGACCCGTAGAATCAACAGTCACGTGATGTATGCAAATTTAAACAGTCGTCGACCTGGGGCCGGTCAAGGTTCCAAGGATGGAAAGGTAAAAAACGCACAAGCTGCCAACACACATCAATAGCTCTCAGGTAAATATCACATGCTGCCAATACACATCAATAACTCTCAGGTAAAATTCACACACATCAATCATTCTCAGGTAAAAACTCACATGTTGCCAATACACATCAATAACTCTCAGGTAAATCTCACACACGTCAATATTTAATTTCTCAGGTAAAACTCACACACATCAATAACTCTCAGGTAAAAACTCACACACCAATAAATCGCAGGTAAAAAAAAAAAAACTTACGTTCTGACAACTCACACCACTAACTCTCAAATACAAACTTAAGGTTTTTGCACTGATGGTAACTATTTTGAATAATTCCATTTGTTCTCCAAAATTCGTACTAAGATAAAACCTCAAAACATTCATTAAATCTCATATTAATTTCGTTAGTTTTTTTTTAGAATCACTTCTTTAAAGTCCATCGGGATATATTGAATTATTGTTTAAAAAAAAATTATATTTGACAGTGGATCTACGAAAAAATGGTTGTTGAATTAATTTACTACGACAAGGCTGTGTCGTCAAATATACCTTACATCATAGAAGAAGTAGCTGACCCCATGGCGACCCCAAATCTCATCCCAGTCCCACTGGATCTAAAACCTGAACCCTACGTCCATCTGAAACACCCCGTCAATGCTGTACGTTTCCACCCAGAGGAGAACTTGAACCTCAGAGATAACTTTGCCCGGAACGAGCGGCTGTCGTCCGTCGACGGCTCGGACATCATCTCCAACAAGACTGCTAAGCCAGCGTTAGCTTCCCAGCCAGCGGCCTTCACGGAAACCACCGACTGGATCGCAGAGAATCCTTTCTTTGGTGTTCCCATACCCGATGAAACGGCGGTTAAGTTGCCAGTGCCAACACCCACAGAAGTGAAGCACGTCAAAGCAATCGATTCGTTCGTGGCAGAGCCCTATTACAGCCCACCTATTATATCTCCAATGATCATCAGCTCGACATCGCCCAAAGATATTTTTAGTACGGACGACATTTCTTTCAACCCGTCGGGGGATTCCTACTCTTTGTTAAACTCCGCTGACCTAAATACAGTGGAAACTCAGGAGCCGGTTTTAAAGAGTCTCAATCTCTCAAGAAATGAGCTTTACGTTACCGGGCTCTATGACATGAGGCCCGAGAACCGCGTTTCTACGGAAGAGAAATTAAGAAAACGAAAGCAGTTACGTCATAAGAAGCAGATCGACAAGGAAGTAGCAGTGTTCGAGTCCCTGCAGGAAAAATCTAAACACGATTTGACCCGCAGCTTTAAATCGTTGACCACCTTAAAGAAGAAGTTGATCAGCGGACCACAGAAACGGATGCTCGTGTCTAAAACGATGGTCTCACCAAAGCAGAACCTGGACGCCGCGAACTGGCGCAGGTATCAGAAGGAACACGAGGAATGTGAGATGGAGAGCGCCCTGAAAAACGTTCTTCAAGAAGGCATCTTAGCAAGACTGAAGACGCTTGCTGCTAGACCGAAAATCGAAGATCCGAGGTTTGGACAGAAGGGCGTCAGGGGAAAACCTCCTCTCCACAACAAAACCCACAACTCTGTGGTGGTGGCCAACAGCAGCAATATTAATTTCAGTCATTTCGGACACAAATGTCGACCAGTCGATGGCCTCGACGATGAGCTGAACTCTTATGATATCGCCTCTCCGGGAAACCAAGCCATTCGACAGGCGAAGAACCAGTCGTTCAACAGAACGGGTGTGGCTCACATGGACATCGACGAGGAGTACGCCAGGTCGTTCATAGCTATCTTATCCGAGTGGCGGGCGACTTTGGATCGAGGAGTCGACATGAAGATCGGGGCTGGTCAGGAAAGTAAATCTTTTAAGATGCAGAATGTCTTCTGCGTGTCGCAAAAATCAACGCCTGCGCCAGTCTATGAGAGCGCTGCCGGAGAAATGAAATGCCCTCGAGGAATTTTACTGAAAAAAAAACACTCCTTCCTAGAAGCTCGGTCGAAATCCGGAGCAGGCAAGATCCAAACACGGCAAGACCTTTCAGAACATTCCCCAAATGAGCGCAGTGGAATAATCAGCGAACGTAAAGTTAAATTTTTTAATACCAGCAACTTGAATGTCAATTATAATGCCAAGGCCACAGCAAGTGACACCAGTCAAATGGTTGCAAAGGAGTCGAAAAGCTCGAGCCAAGTGGCAGCGGCGATCAGTAGAAACGACTCCGTTGTCCTCAAATCAAGGAACATCAGCATCAACCTGTCCAATTTCAGTGAAGAAGAAACCATCGATCCGACCCACCATTCTGAAAGTGTCACCAGCGTTCGTATGGAAGGAGATGAGCTAAGGCGGTCAGATACCGGACCTGGTATAAAGGATCCCACCCCAACACCAGCTCTGGTCAAATCGACTGTTTCCGAGCAGTTAAAATTATATAATAAAGATTGCACCTGTGACGAGTGTGTACTCCAGGAACCGTATCTGTTGCCCTATAGGATCCAGTCAAATCTCGCAACTAGATATCCTCTAGTGCTAGGTAGGTTCAGACGCAACTTCCCGTTTTTGGCAAACAAAGATTATCAACCTTCGAAGGAAATTTTTAATCAGCAATGCGTGTCTGCATTTAACAGGCTGAGCGAATCGCAGGTAGCTGAACAGCTTTTCACCATACTTAAAGACTTTATGATCCGCAAGGAGATCATATCGTCCAGTTTGGGTCATACATATGTGACCGTCACTTTCACCAAACCGGACGTCATGGACAAAATGATCAGAGCAAATAGTGTTTTAGGTTAAATTTGCAACAGACCTTTTTTAAACCAAAAAAATGGTGAGCTTGACTTTAGAATTAATGGCGTTTAAAGGGTCTCGCATTATTTGCTTAGTGCCAGCTATAAACTCATGCGTTTGTGTCATGGTCCCCCAAAATACTGATTGTATTTAAAAAGCCCTCAACCAAAAAGAAAAAAAAGTATTTTTAATGTACGATAGAACATGGAAAGTTTAGTCTAATTTCAACAAGGCTAGAATTACATAAAATCTTTCTTTTTTTCTAACTAATATTGTTTTGGACTTTTGTAGAGTGCATTTGTGTATAACTGTAAAAACACAAACTTGGTTTGTAAACCTCTGCATCACAGAAGTAAGCATTTTAAAAATTTCAAGATCATTATGATTCACATAGTAGCATGTGGCTTTTAGAGCTCTTGTACATGTAGGCGACTTGATGGCCATGTAACATAATCAAGAAATATGGAACATGATGTTTTGATAAATTATATTATTATTATCAAAAGGTTACTGAATGACTAACTTTCTACAATCGGAGAGCTCATTTTTTGTTAAGTTGTAGTACATTATCTCGTGTTTGGATTGAAGAGGAATTTTTTTTTTTTTGGTTAACATTTCAGTTTCAGTGGGTATTGATCAGTGTCGCACAGCTAAAAGATGTTTTTTTTTTAATGAGTATAACACAGTGCGTTATTGTATGTGAGAGATACATGACTTTTAGCCCAGCGTTTGCCAATTGGTTGCGCTGGACCAGGCAACCAGAGTAATTAGTTTTGGTGGAGCATCCAAATCCTTAACCACAAGCTTCTGCATTAAATGTCAGTCTAGTCGGGAACTCCCGGAGCTATTATTAGTTTTAAGTACGTCAACGGAAACAGCTACTTTACACTCTGTGCATGCAGTTAAAGGGGTAGAGAAACTTGTCACCTCACAACAGACCTCTCTCATGGGTCTCTCAAACTTTGAACCCTTTTGAAATGATTAAATATAACAGCAAACTGACATTCACAAAAGAAAAGTGCTTATAATGTAATAGAGAAGGTATATAATATAACAAATGGCTCCACCTCTAACAGAAACGGTGTTTGTTTCACACAATAAAGCTCCCGGAGTAGGGAAGGGGGATTTCAGTTGTTCGGGTGGGAAATGCCAAGGCAAGGCGTCGTTTCAGGATTTTTCGGGGGGGGGGGGGCAAAAATAGAACTTGGTAGTCTTATTAAGTTGTTTGTTACTGGAGGCGCCACAGGAAATAGCAATTTATATTAAACCTGCAAATTCAGAGCGGAGGGGACTAATGCCCCACCCTGCCCTACCTTAATGATGTCCCTGGCCAGGGCGTAGGAAGGATGGGAGGAAAGGGCACTCCGCCCTATGGCTTTTTGTTGTTTTATTTGATGGCCTACTGCAGAGTTTTTATCGTGGATAGGGGTGGCCACAATCTTGGCCCGCACAGGTTGTCACTTAGCCTACATACACCACTGGGTGACCAGGATTAGCCAGCGAACATGGGGAGAGGTCTGTATAGGAGTTCTCCCCTCCACAGAAAGTTTTTTTTTATAAATTCAAAATCAAGGTGTACAGTTTGGCTTATACCTGATAATTGTTTTAGTAAAATTTGATAATTTGATCCAGGGAGTGAATATATCGGGCTTGGGCGGGTAAGGGGAGGGGGGTGTTGAAGGAAAACTATGAGCGTGCAAATTATGCATATTGGCTTACATAACCTGAATTCACTGCAGATATGGTTCGCCCCAGGGTATTCTTTTGTGTCCCAACTTAGTTTCACCCCCGTATTGCGATATTGATCGACGTGGGTGAGGGGGTGAATCAGAAATTGATGTCTTCCAAACAGAGAATACCCCTAACTTAACAAAATTAAAATAAATTATAAATGCAGTGATGCAATTTGGCGCATAGCTAAATTTAGTTTTGCCTCATTCTGCACTTAATCGGAGAGCAACAGAATTTATGTGTTTCTTAGCCTGGTTGTGTTGAGACAAAACCTTATTTCAAGTTGTTACTACACTGTATAGTTTCTTACTAATATATTTTTATTTAAAATGTTTATTTCTTTTCGCTCCTTCATCAATTAATGAATTGAAAAACAACTATATTTCCATATAAAAAAAGGGGTCGTCACAAAAAAGCGGTTATACTAATAACCTAGTAGAAAAGGTCTAAATGACAACTTTTATAAATTGTTTATGAATGGCAAAAATTATACTAATAGCTATATTTTTTAAGCACGATGACATTAGACAATTAGCACCCTGTCCTATTTTAAAAGTTGATAATATATTGTAAAGAAACCGAAATTAAAAATATAGGCCTTCGTAGCGATGGAAAGTTAATTTAATTCGGTATTGATCAAAATATCGGCCACTTTTCCCCATGGTTTAAGTCTTAACGTTAACTTTGTATTTTTCAAATAATAATAATAATAATAATACTGGTAAAAAAATAATATGTATCTTACATCGTAACAAGATCAAATATACTGAGCGTATATATTTTTCATTATTTTCACATTTCCCTCATTTAAATAGGTTTATGGTACAGTTGCTCCTCTTTAAAAACGTGTTATAAAAATGATAATACTGTTGGTGTTTTTATTTTTATTATTTTCTTTTTTAAACATCTTTTCGCTTTATTTTAAAGGAGATTTTTGAAAGAAAAGCTGACATTATATGCCACTTAAGATAACACGTTTATTGAATGCCCCATTAATACTTAAAGAAGTCATGAGGGTAAAAATTAACTTCTTCAATATAAGGACAACAGTCGTGAGTTTTAATATGATTTTTTACAACAGCTGTGAATAAGTATCAAAGGAGTTAACCATTATTGAAATTGTAATGTCAAAGTAAAAAAAAACAACAACATTTCATTTGTATAATGTGATCAGTGTTCAAATGATTTATCATTAACATTTCGCCTAAAAAACAAATTGAAGTTATGACAAACAATAAAGGATTCTAGAATGTATCCTTGGCTTTCGTGTAAATCTCTTTTCATTGATTTCAATGCTCCTACATATACCCATTCACCATATCATGTCGTTTATAGATTGTATCTTTCTCCTTACACTAATTTGATGCCATTTACTTACAAAAATACCACGAGACCATTGAGATTCCTTGCAACATTGCAACCAAAACGTGTGAATTTGTAACAGAACGAGCCGTATCCACCCCAACGCCTTGCATGGAAGAGGTGGACGCATCTTCTACTTCTAAAACACACGTTGAATTTGAACACTTGCTCTTTAGCTCATGCGTGCTCAGTGTTTTAAGGGATCCGTTGAAGAGAGCGTTCCCCCGGGAACACTCGACAGTGTCTGCAACAGAATTAGGGTGAGCCCTGATGTATTCCATGAAGGCTGCGACTGAGCAATCGCAATCAATTTGAGATTTGGTGAACTGAAAGGTGTCGTGATTTCCCGGGGTGGCTTCCCTTAGACCTTTGAGGACCAGGCAAGGTAACGTCTTGAAGTGGCAGTTGGTCAGCTTCACCCGGGAGATGTTCCTCAGGTTTTCAAAAGCACTGCTCGACACGATATCCACCACAAGGTTATTGAATTCGAACACCTCCAAGTCGTAGAGTGAGTGCAATGAGAAGTTTTGCAAATTCGTAATTTCCGTGTCTGTTATGTTAAAGCTGTGAGCTTGAATGTCTCTGAAAGCGAACGAGCTGATAACGGAAATTAAAGAGTGCTCGAAGCGTATCTCTCTAAGTCCTCTCAGATGGTGAAACGCCTCTGGGCCAATGATTCCAATGATGCAATCTATAAAATTGATGCTTGCATGACTTGCAATGTCGCTGAAAGCGTCTGATTGAATTGTTTGGATATTGGCACCTAAAAATTCAATGAGCCTTACAGAACGTAGACCGCGGAACGCCAGGGGTGTCAGTGTTGAAACTTCTCCATTATGAAAGGAAATGGTTTCAGTAGAATTGCCGAACTTGATAGGACCGAGGTCATTCAATTTAAAGCTTGATATCTTTATGTTTACGATGACATTTGGGAAAAAACCTGTCACGTTTTTGAAATTGGTAAATTGACACTGAGCTGTTTCAAGCACACATTTGCATCCGTGGTCACAGAGATCTTTGGACATCGCAGCCGACAAAGTGAACAAGCACAAGGTGATGCTGACTATCCCCTGAAATTATTTTTTAAAAACAAATAACTGACTTAGAGTTTTAAACGTTTAATAAAAAACGTGCTTAAGATTCAGTTGTGTCTGTATTCTTAAAATCAGATTAACTCGTTTGTTTTTCATCAATATTTGTGTTTCATTCTCCTAGTATTGAACACATTTAATGCAAATGGGCGGTCAATTTTGTAAATAGCTCAATAACATTCTTAACTAACGAATCCTATTTATTCTTACCACGTAGTAAGATTAGCAAAACATGTTGCATAAAAATGGCGATAAATATTTAATATTATTTGGTAAAAAAAAAAATTCAAGCACAAAGTTATTCTAGACTATACAGGTACCTTGAATTGTGACATATTATTTGGTAAAAAAAATTCAAGCACAGAGTTCATCTAGACTATACAGGTACCTTGAATTGTGACATATTATTAGGTAAAAAAAATTTCAAGCACAAAGTTAATCTAGACTATACAGGTACCTTGAATTGTGACATATTATTTGGTAAAAAAGTTCAAGAACAACGTTAACCAATACAGTTACCTTGAATGGTGACATCAACCTGAACAGAACCTTGTTCATGTTTAACTAATTGAAAGCAAAAAAAAAAACAACGACAACAAGTCTTTCAGTTATCCTTCAAGTGCAATGTTTTCTCCACTGAAATGCTACACAGCTGAGTCAGTATTAACGGTAGGAATTAAAACTCTCTCCCTTACTGGCCTTGTTGAACCACCTGAGACAGAGAGCCAACCCCGCCCCAAATAATCCCCCCCCCCCCTTTTCCGTTAACCTCACCCCCATCCATTCCCCCAACTTTTAAAGTCTAAAAACCATTAGATGAAGTTCGAAACGAACGCTCTGACAAACAGGAACTAGATGTCAGCTGATTATAGACGATGCCATCATGGCGCCAATATAGTTTTACTCTTACGTAATCATGCGTTATTGTTAAATGCTTCAAAAAATTATTATATTTTTTATTTTGAGCTGAACTTTAAAAAAAAAAAAAAAAATTCCGATGATTGTATGGTACGCCGTCTATTAGTGATTCTCAAGTGTGTCGAGTTGGACTCTCTGGCATGAACCCAGATGGTAAAAGATTCACTGACGCTCAGAAAACAAAGAAACGTTTTATAATGACTCTATTTTTACATTACTGTATAAATGGCCTACTACTTTATGACCACGTTCGTTCATCCCTTAGTTGTGGTCAGGCAACGCCCGATATGTTCGTGACCGCTAATTAGACGACCCTGCCTGCAGAATCAATCAGGTACTAATAAAATAACTATTTTTTTTCTTTATTTGAAACTTTGAACATTAATTATTGTGTAGGTAAAAAAGACTTAAAAACAAAGAATAGTATGCACAGTAAAGTTATTAGCTTTGTGTGTCTACCGGTGTCTATGGTAACTGTTCGAAGTATTTCCAAAAAAAAAAAAAAAGATGACTGAAAAGAAATACGTTGCCACTTTGTCATACAGAGGGGTGTAGTTGTGCTGCAAATACCAACTAAAATGTTGGTGTAAGATCTCGTCTCATTCTACCGCTATTAAATACAGGTCAGGTCCTAGGCCCTGTCCGCTCTAATGCAAGATTTCAACTGCTATAACTATTATATAAAACCAAAAGTCTGACCTAGCTGTTTGGAACAGGGGAATGCATCGTAAGAATGAGACACGAAGAGCAATAGTCTGACCAAGCTGTTTGGAACAGGGGAATGCATCGTAAGAATGAGACACGAAGACCAACAGTCTGACCTAGCTGTTTGGAACAGGGGAATGCATCGTAAGAATGAGACACGAAGACCAACAGTCTGACCTAGCTGTTTGGAACAGGGGAATGCATCGTAAGAATGAGACACGAAGACCAACAGTCTGACCTAGCTGTTTGGAACAGGGGAATGCATCGCAAGAATGAGACAAGAAGACCAACAGTCTGACCTAGCTGTTTGGAACAGGGGAATGCATCGCAAGAATGAGACAAGAAGACCAACAGTCTGACCTAGCTGTTTGGAACAGGGGAATGCATCGCAAGAATGAGACAAGAAGACCAACAGTCTGACCTAGCTGTTTGGAACAGGGGAATGCATCGTAAGAATGAGACACGAAGGCCAACATTACGAGCGTTGTCGTTGAATATTGAACACGGCTGTGTGCAATATTCAATATTGCGTACAGCCAATATTGCACACAGCCAATATTGCACACAGCCAATATTGCGTACAGCCAATAATGCGTACAGCCAATATTGCGCACAGCCAATATTGCGTACAGCCAATATTGCACAAAGCCAATATTGCACACAGCCAATATTGCACACGGTTATATCTTGATTTCTGTCATTCTACATTTTCCTCTTTGTTTTCAATAACAGAACCTCTACTATGTGGGTGGAGAACAATTATTTTGACAATCTTCAGTTCGCAGTTGACAAGCCGACCACCTCACTTATTCCCCTGAAAAATCCCCCCCCCTTTTTTGCTCTCAAGTCGTCATATAAACGAATATATACGGTCATTATACGTTTATTTATTCTCGTGACGTTGAGGATCTAGACACTAGTTAGTCGAGTCTTTATTTTATTAGAATTTTCCGGTGACGTCATAATAAGTTTAAAGGCAGTCTTTGTCCTTTAACCTTTTTTTTTTAATGTATGCTTATGTTAGCATGAGTATATGTGTGTGCCCGTGTGTGTGTGTGAGAGAGAGAGAGAGAGAGAGAGAGAGAGAGAGAGAGAGAGAGAGAGAGAGAGAGAGAGAAAGTATATTTTTGAGAGAGAATATGTGAGTTAATGTATGAATGTATATTTTATATTTTAAACAATTATTATTTCTCGTAGCCTCAACCCAAAATGGTAAAATCCCGACTAGATGAACAATGTAGAAGGTTGTTACAGCCCTGTACCGCAAGGCAGCCACTAATCCAAACAGGAAACAGCAGCTTCCACAAGAATGATACATACAAGACCGTCCTTTTCAAAACTTTCAAGTGAGTATTCGTGTCGTCAGGCTCACAATTTCTGTTCAAAGGAAACCCATACAATGTCACATTGACTTCCTTTGGAAACTATCTGTCTTTTGAATCCTTTATATCAACGTCGCTTTTGTTCGTGGTGGCTGGCTGGCTGGGGGTTGGACATGCACACTTTTTGGACAGCTAATCGACCCGTCAACCTATCGAGCTGAAACTTGGCACATAGACTCGATGCCGATGACGACAAATTCTGTCAAATTTTCAGCCGTCACCCCTTAACCCCTAAAAATCTGTTTTTCCTATTTCT